ACGTACAGAGGGAAGAACATCAGAATAACATCAGACCTATCCACAAGCTTTCTGGCAAGCCAGAAAGGCCTGGCAAGACATATTCAGGGTATTAATGACAAGAACATGCAGCCAAGAATACTTTATCCAGCAAGGCTGTCATTTAGAATGGATGGAGAGATGCAGAGCTTCCACGACTGACAGAAAATGAAAGAATATGTGACCACTGAGCCAGCACTGCAAGAAATATTAAGGGGGCTTCTATAAAAGGAGAAAGACGCCAAGAGTGATATACAACAGAAATTTACAAGGACAATCTATAAAAGCAATGTCTACACAGGCAACATGATGACAATTCATATCTTTCAGTAATCACTTTCAACGTGAATGGCCTAAATGCTCCCATAAAATGGCACAGGGTTGCCAATTGGCTAAAAAGACAGGACCCATCCATACGCTCCCTACATGAGACTCATTCTGAACCTAAAGATACATCCAGACTCAAAGTGAAGGGTTGGAGGTCCATCTTCCATGCCAACGGACCTCAGAAGAAAGCTGGGGTAGCAATTCTTATATCAGACAAATTAGATTTTAAACTAAAGTCTGTAATTAGAGACACAGAAGGACACTATATCATTCTTCAAGGGTCTATACAACAAAAATATCTAAAAATTGTAAATATCTATGCCCCCAACATGGGAGCAGCCATCTACATAAGCCAACTGTTCACCAAAATAGAGTCATACTGATAACAATACGTTAAATGTAGGAGACCTCAATACTCCACTCTCAGCAATGGACAGATCATCTCAGCAGAAAATCAACAAGGAAACAAGAGCTTTCAATGATACACTGGACCAGATGGACCTCATAGATATATACAGAATGTTCCACCCTAAAACAACAGAATACTCATTCTTCTGGGGCACACATGGAAATTTCTCCAGAATAGACCACATACTGGGTCACAAATCAGGTCTCAACTGATACCAAAAGATTGAGATTATTCCCTGCATATTCTCAGACCACAATGCTTTAAAACTGGAACTCAATCACAAGGAAAAATTTGGCAGAAATTCAAACACTTGGAAGCTAAAGACCACTCTGCCCAAGAATGTTTGGGTCAACCAGGAAATCAAAGAAGACCTTAAACAATTCATGGAAATCAATGAGAACGAAAACACATTGGTCCAAAACCTATGGGATACTGCAAAGGTGATCCTAAGGGGGAAATACATAGCCATCCAAGCCTCACTCAAAAAAAAAATAGAAAAATCCCGAATTCACCAACTAACTCTATACATTAAAGAACTAGAGAAAAAGCAACAAACGATGCCTAAGCCATGCATTAGAAGAGAAATAATTAAAATTAGAGCAGAGATCAATGAATTAGAAACCAGAAATACAGTAGATCAGATCAACAAAACTACAAGCTGGTTCTTTGAAAGAATTAATAAGATCGATAAACCACTGGCCAGACTGATCCAAAAGAAAAGAGAAAGGACCCAAATTAATAAAATTTTGAATGAAAGGGGAGAGATCACGACTAACACCAGGGAAGTAGAAACAATTCTTAGAAATTATTATCAACAACTATATGCCATTAAACTGAGCAATCTGGATGAAATGGAGGCCTTCCCAGAAACCTATAAGCTGCCAAGACTGAAACAGGAAGAAATTGACAACCTGAATAGGCCAATAACCAGGAATGAGTTTGAAGCAGTGATCAAAAACCTCCCCAAAAACAAGAGTCCAGGGCCTGATGGATTCCCTGGACAATTCTGCCAAACATTCAAAGAAGAAATAATACCTATTCTACTGAAGCTGTTTCAAAAAAATAGAAACAGAAAGAAAACTTTCAAACTCATTCTATGAGGCAAGCATTAACTTAATCCCCAAATCAGGCAAAGACCACATCAAAAAGGAGAATTTCTGACCAATATCCCTGATGAATATGGATTTCAAAATCCTCAACAAAATCCTAGCTAATAGGATCCAAAAATACATTAAAAGGATCATCCACCACGACCAAGTGGGATTTATCCCTGAGATGCAAGGGTGGTTCAACATTCGCAAATCAATCAATGTGAAAGACGACATTAATAAGAGGAGGGAGAAGAAGCATATGGTCCTCTGAATTGATGCAGAAAAAGCATTTGACAAAATACAACATCCTTTCCTCATTAAAACTCTTCAGAGTACAGGGATAGAGGGAACATTCCTGAAGTTCATAAAATCCATCTATGAAAAACCCACAGCGAATATCATTGTCAATGGGGAAAACCTGAAAACCTTTCCCTTAAGATCAGGAACACGTCAAGGATGCCCACTCTCACCACTATTGTTCAACATAGTACTAGAATTCCTAGCAACAGCAATCAGACAACAAAAAGAAATAAAAGGTATTCAAATTGGCAAAGAACAAGCCAAACTCTCTCTTTTTGCAGATGACATGATACTTTATGTGGAAAACCCAAAAGATTCCACCCCCAAATTACTAGAACTCATACAGCAATTCAGTAATGTGGCAGGATACAAAATCAATGCAGAGAAATCAGTTGCTTTCTTATACACTAACAACGCAACTGTAGAAAGCGAAATTAGAGAAACGATTCCATTTACAATAGCACCAAAAACCATAAGATACCTCGGAATAAACCTAACCAAAGAGGTAAAGGATCTATACTCTAGAAGCTACAGAACACTCATGAAAGAAATTGAAGAAGACACAAAAAGATGGAAGAATATTCCATGCTCATGGATTGGAAGAATAAACATTGTTAAAATGTCTATGCTACCCAGAGCAATCTACACCTTCAATGCCATCCCGATCAAAATTCCAATGACATTTTTCAAAGTGCTGGAACAAACAATCCTAAAATTTGTATGGAATCAGAAAAGACCCCAAATCACCAAGGAAATGTTGAAATAGAAAACCAAAGCTGGGGACATCACGTTACCCGATTTCAAGCTTATTACAAAGCTGTGATCACCAAGACAGCATGGTACTGGCACAAAAACAGACATATAGACCAATGGAACAGAATAGAGAACCCAGATATGGACCCTCAACTCTATGGTCAAATAATCTTTGACAAAGCAGGAAAAAAGATGCAATGGAAAAAAAAAACAGTCTCTTCAGTAAATGGAGCTGGGAAAATTGGACAGCCACATGCAGAAGAATGAAGCTCAACCATTCTCTAACACCATACACAAAGATAAACTCAAAATGGATGAAAGAACTCAATGTGAGTCAGGAATCCATCAAAATCTTAGAAGAGAACATAGGCAGTAACCTCTTTGACATCAGCCACAGTAACTTCTTTCAAGATACATCTCCAAAAGCTAGTGAAACAAAAGCAAAAATGAACTTTTGGGACTTCATCAAGATAAAAAGCTTCTGCACAGCCAAGGAAACAGTCAACAAAACAAAGAGTCAACCCACAGAATGGGAGAAGATATTTGCAAATGACGTATCAGATAAAGGGCTAGTATCCAAAATCTATAACTTCTCAAACTCAACACCCAAAAAATAAATAATTAAGTCAAAAAATGGGCAGGAGATATGAACAGACACTTCTCTGAAGAAGACATACAAATGGCTAACAGACACATGAAAAAATGTTCATCATTAGCCCTCAGGGAAATTCAAATATAAACCACATTGAGATACCACCTTACACCAGTTAGAATGGCAAAAATGGACAGGGAAAGAAACAACAATTGGTGGAGAGGTTGTGGAGAAAGGGGAACCCTCTTACATTGTTGGTGGGAATGCAAGTTGGTACAGCCACTTTGGAAAACAGTGTGGAGGTTCCTCAAAAATTTAAAAATGGAGCTACCCTATGACCCAGCAATTGCACTCCGGGGTATTTACCCCAAAGACCCAGATGTAGTGAAAAGAAGGGCCATATGCACCCCAATGTTCATAGAAGCAATGTCTGCAATAGCCAAACTGTGGAAAGAGCCAAGATGCCCTTCAACAGATGAATGGATAAAGAAGATGTGGTTCATATATACAATGGAATATGACTCAGCCATCAGAAAGGATGAATACCCAACTTTTACATCAACATGGATGGGACTGGAGGAGATTATGCTAAGTGAAATAAGTCAAGCAGAGAAAGTCAATTATCATATGGTTTCATTTATTTGTAGAATCTAAGGAATAGCATGGAGGACATTAGGAAAAGGAAGGGAAAAATGAAGGGAGGGAAATCGGAGGGAGAGATGAACCATGAGAGACTATGGACTCTGAGAAACAAACAGTGTTTTATAGGGGAGGGGAGAGGGGGGATTGGTTAGCCCGGTGATGGGTATTAAGGAGGTTATGCACTGCATGAAGCACTGGGCGTTATATGAAAACAATGGATCGTGGATCACCACATCAAAAACTAATGATGTATTGTATGGTGACTAACATAACATAATAAAATTTTAAAAAAGCATATTGAGTGTAAAGACTTTTACAACCATAAAAAAATAAATAAATACTGAAATGCACTAAATAAATAGTAATGTAAATTTCTTAATTTTGATTGAGATATTTATATCAATCATGACCCAATTATATGATGAAATTAACTAGGATAATTAGGTATAAAACATTATGCTATTTTATTATCTTTTCATTGAAGTATAATTAATATATAGTGCTATATTAGTTTCAGGTGTATAATATAATGATTCACCAATTCTATACATTATTCAATGCTCATTATGATGAGTGTATTTCTTAATCCCCTCTATTTCACCTATTGCATTAATTACCTTTGATTGCTTTTTAAAACTGCAAAAACCTGCTCAAAGATTAGATGGTGTACTGATTACATTTTATTTAAGGTTATATTGGTAACATTTATAAATATTATGACCTCAGAATATGTCCTTGAAATAATGCAGTCTTATTAAGGTTCAATTTTGTCAACTTTACAAACATCATGACAATTTTCTCAGTGGCATTCTTATTAACAACACAGGGGAAAAACCCCTCTTTTTGCTTTAAATAAAAGATTACTTACTGCTCTTTTTCTAGAACACCCTGTAATCCAAGGCACAGTAAGGTTTCCTGAAATCTGTGGAAACAACAAATGGAATTTCAGTAAGGTATGCATTGACACTAGGAATAATGATCAACAGCAAAAAATTCATACAAGATGTCAAGATAGTCCTGCATTCAGAGCATATTCCCCACATAGACAATGCCATTTCCTTATTGAACACAACAGATATAAAGGGCCTTCCTTTAAAAGTGGTGCAGTTCCCCTGAAAATTCAAGAAAATTTCTGGGCATTGTTGGGGTCTGGAAATATGGTTTATAATTCTGTGGACAAGAAAATTTTTATAGAGTAGCCTGGGTGACTCAGTTGGTTAAGCGTCTCCTTTCAGCTCAGGACATGATCCTGGGGTCCTGGGATCAAGCCCTGCTTCAGGCTCCCTGCTTCTCCCTCTCCCTCTGCCCCTCCCCCCCACTTGTGTTCTCTCTGAAATAAATATATAAAATCTTAAAAAAAATTATAGTAAAAATTCAGTACTCTGTAGAATACATAAGCTACAATAATTAACTTATTAACTACAGTCATCATGCTATACATTAGTTCTCTAGACAGCCTACGTAACTGCAAGTTCCCTTTTAAGCAGAAACTACTAAGATAGTCAGCAACACCTTATTTCATCAGCATTTGCACACAAGGAGATAAATGCTACTGCAGTTGGATTCTGGGGACTGTTTACAGAGACCAAGGTGGTCTTGTGAGCTACAGTATAGGGTAGCCTAGATGTAACCATACTTTTTCCTGGGATTCACAAGTTTTGGGGAATACTCCAAATTCTCCTCTTGCCCTCTCCTTCCCTCCCAAACACATACTTCCTGAGAGACTGACAAGTCAAATCAGCCTTGCTAAATGGTGATGCTCAGAATATGATATTCAATTGAACAATTTTGTTTTTGAAAAAATTACATTTAGTGATGACATGAATTAGTATTATGTTACTGATAAAGAGTGATAATCGCTCAATGCAAATGGTAAAGTAATATCCTTAATTATTCAAAATTCAGGTAAATTATTACTGTCCCTGGCCACTAGATCTGAAATTTTATTTCGAGTTCAAAATATACCACGATGCTAGGGATAGGTTAAGAAAAATTAATGATATAAACTCCAAATAATACTTTTAAGGAAAAAAAATAAAAATAATTTTACTTGAGTTAAAAATCCCATTACAGTAACATGGCAATAAACTGTAATGCTTGAGGATCATGAAAGCTTTTGAGTAATTGATTTTTAAAACATGGTAAACTAAAAAAAAATAAATAAATATAAAATGGTAAACTAAGGGTGGAGCAAGATGGCGGAGGAGTAGGAGACCTGGATTTCATCTGGTCTCAGGAATTCAGCTGAATAGGGATCAAACCATTCTGAACACCTACAA